CATATCCAGTTCAAGAAACAAACATGCAGTTCCAAAAGCATTTGTGCAATATGAAATTCAATAATATTTAAAGTGATATTATGAGCATTTCGTCACTAACAATTTACAACACCTTTGCAGTCGTAGCTGTTGTAATAGATCACTAATGAAGACAGGTTTTATATCACCATGGGCGATATAAATTGCAAGTGTAGAAATCTCTACCAGCTGATGAAAAAAGGGACCGACCATCAATGTGGGCTTCATACTTTGCTGAACTCTATCCATATTTCCACTCTACTACAAAAGATATTGGTGTTACTGATGTTACTTTTTAGGGAATGTTCTTGTAGCATTTCAAGATAAAAGAAAGAGGATATAGTTCAGTGACAAAGTGTCTGTTTGGCATGCCTAGACTTTAATCCCTGGGTACTGTAGACAGATCAGGGAAAGACTCTAGTCTGAAAGCTGGAGAACTTCAATTCAGGATAGACAGCATGACGCTGGATGAACCAAAGATTTGACTTACACAAGACAACTTTCTATGTTCTTTTTACATGGGGTTTTTTCGCCCCCTTACATGGACTTGTCAAAAAGACTCTAAATATCACAGTACTATGATTTTTATCATAGTGTATGACGCTTAGTCCATAAAGCACACATTAAAAAAGTAATATAATGTTGCAACACTGGACTACTGTGCATGTGATCATGATCTATTTTTTCCTCACTCTCTTTGCCTTATATCCAAACTTCTTTTGAGTTCTACTCACTCTCACTTCCTTCATTTAAACTACAAAGGGCTGGATGTTGATTTTCATCAAGAGGACCGACCATAACAATATGGCCATCGCCTTTCATCTACTCTCTCTCTGAAGTCTCCCTTTTGCTGGCAGTGAGGGAAAAGGGTTGGAACAATGTAACGCCTGGGATCTGGGAAAAGAGAGGATGAGTGATCGTCACCCGGAAGGACTGTGAGGTGGAGGCTGCTTGGGAACACTTAAAACGTTGAATGGTAGGGGTTGATCCCTCAGATCCTGTCTAGAATGCCTGCAATCATTTTCTCTTAATAAAGATGCCTGTTGGAAGAGATATTCCAAGAGTTCTGTCTTCTTAAGATGTAAAGTGAGGTGGGTCCTTACACACAGCATTGTTTATATTTTAAAAAATCAGATAGTGGTACAGCTATACATGGCAATGAAAACAAAATGAATCCCACAATGGAAGCTTTTCTTACACTGACTTCTACACCAATTGTTTTTATCCTCTCTATTATACACAAAAAGCCTTCACCTTAGTAAAAACTTACATGTTTTACCCTCTAGTGTTTAGGACAGAGTTCCCCAACCTTTTGGGATTGGCAGCCCAGAGCAAGGGGAGGGAGGGAAAGAAAATATGGTTTAGTGGAGGGTTGAACACATGCACGAGCATGTGCGTGTGCACGAAGACCATTGCTCATGTGAGTGGAGCCACGACTACCTGTGACATTCGCACAAGTAGGCCCGTACATGCCAGCAATGCTCGCAACAATGCTCACAGTGGGGCTGCGAAAGTCTGTGACAATGTTCACGTTAGGCCACAAATGCCTGCTATGCTCACAGCAATGCTCATGTGACTGGGTCCGCAAATGCCAGCAATGTTTGCAGTGATGCTCACAGCAACGCTCATGCATGTAGGGCTTTGCACGCACACACGCATGCATCGGTCAGCCACTCACACGGCCCAGTGGCCAGTGGGCTACAGCCCAATAGTGGGCCTTAGCCCACAGGTTGGGGATCCCTGCTTTAGTATGTTGAAAGGGATGTGGCTGTTGAAAAGGTTGTGTGTTGTTGCATTACACTTTTGGTGTATTTTTACTCCATCTGGCACTACAAATTAATAAGTCCTTCATGGCACATGATCAGGTTTTCTAAGGGATCATGGAGTTGTTTCTTCCTGTCCTATGTGTTACAACAGAGTGACCACAGTACCACTAATGGAATCTAGGAGATGCACCTTTTCATTTGTGAAAAGAGAGTAATCTACGCCCCAAGATTCTACTGACCCAACACTGTGACCCTTTAAGAAGGCTCTGAAGCCTGTATGTTCCAGAAAGAGTTGGGTCTAGGATGATAGGTGGGCTTAACCAAGTTAAATGTATATGACCTAGTTCTGTGATTTGTTTTATTTTTAGGGGGTTGGTGGTATTCTTAGGATATTGTGATTTTTTTTAATAGTTCTATGCTACCTGGCAGATTGGATGACAATAAATAAATTCACTTCTTGCTAAACTGGCTTTTAGAGGATGTGTGGTATATTCTAAGAGGACATCATTCCATTGCTTTATCCATGAATATAGTAAAATTCTGTTCAGCTGTAGTTGCCATCAGGAAGAATTGCATTTGAACTTGACAATATGGTTGTTTTCATTTTTTCAGTTTTTTCTTTACTTGGTTTCTTTTTTCCTTTAAAAAAAATATGTTGTACTTGACTTACTTTTTTTGTGTTTGTCTGTAAATAAAGCCACAGTAATAATGATACATTTTGTTCTGGGAGGAACAAATGGATCACCTGATCACTGGCTTTGATTTTTGTTTTTTGGTTTTTTTTTTATTAGGCAGCAAACACTCCTCCCATGGAGATAAAAATAAAAATCCGTTTTTGATAATTTCCATACGTATCTAATATTCAATTATTGCCCTTAATTAATTCATTCTTTGACTAAGAACAAGCAGTTAATTGTTTCTTACAAAACAAAGAGAGGATAAAATAGCTAGAGATTTTGCTTCATATCACAACATTTAAAAAGATTACAGATAGATTACAACTTGAAATTGTATTATGATGCGGTGGTATTTACAGCAATTAGTGATTGGGTGAATGTAACTAATAAGAGGATGCTTAGTTTAGAAGGATGGGATTTGTTATATGGATGGCACGCATACCTTCTTTATAATAAAAAGATGGATAAGGCATTTAAAGCCCATATTTTAAGTTATGCGTTGTTAAGAGTTTGGAGGAAATATTATAACAGATTGAGTTATAAAATTCCACTTTGGGCTGTTCCTGAACAAGCAATAGAAGGGGTCACTAGAGGAGTAAAGTTAGATACAATAACTTATAAAGATTTATTGATATGGGTTGGTCAGAATTGGGAGCTTAAACCAATAGAAGAACTATTGGAGGGACAATTAG